CCATGTTGAATCTAGTAATGTATATTCAGCTTAGGATTTCAGATATGACCCTTAACAAATATTCAGTTATCAGGTGAAGGGAATTAACAGATATGGGGTATCACATGGAATTGAGGCATTCTGGTAGATGCCCTACCAGCTAAGTTAGCCAGAATATTGAAGTTTTATAGTTGTGCTTTTTTTTTACCTTTGCCAGAAAGGCATTAAATTATCTTCAATAACTACTCCTCTTAAACATCTGATCACAAAAATAACCTCCAGCCAAAGTAAGTCTCCAACTCGCTCATTTGTCAACCAACCAAGGAAGTGACTTCATTTACTGGTAGTAAGTTTAGTAAGTTGTGCTTCATTATGACAGCTAAAGAAATGTATCAAAAAAAAAAAAAAAAAAAAAAAACTCGTCTAAGACAGTTAGCATTATGGCATAAATAGTGCCATAGGTTGTAGGAATTGAGATGCTGGAAATTATCAATGTTCAATTAAAAAAGCAAAGCAAATGATTTCAAGTAGGTTTTCCTTGCCTCTTGAGGAGTAAAAATTTTACTTTGGTGTTTATTCAGGAGATCAATGTGTTAAGGGTGACAGAAAAATTAGCCTTCACGGGTAGTATTCATGGAGCAACTATAGCTGAGAATATTTTCAATGTTGAGAAAGAACTAATGCAGTACAATATAAAGTAGAATCTGCAAAATGTGGGCTGGGATTGTGGCTCAGCGGTTGAACGCTCGCCTAGCACAAGCAGGACCCAGATTCAATTCCCAGCACCACATAAAAATAAAGGCATTGTGTTGTGTCCATCTACAAAAAAGATTCTCTCTCTCTCTCTCTCTCTCTCTCTCTCTCTCTCTCTTTAAAAAAAAAGAATCTTCAATATGTGTTATTTGGACAGATTTTACAAAGTTTGCTAACACATAATACACCTATTATATTATGCTTATAATATAATATATTATATATATATGTATATTATGTTATACTTATTCACTGAGATATCAGCAGGAGCATTGTGGAAAACATTTGGTTCTTTCAAGTGTTGTTGAAACAGTGTGTCACCTATAAATGTCATTCATTCTCATCAATTTAATCATCTTCAGTTCTGAGAAATGTTGCCGGAAATAGGCTATATGTCCTGACTTGTTCTACCACACAGCAGTTTGGTGGCTTGATGATAAAATTTTATTGCAAAGTTTTTCAGATCAGAGCTAAGATTGAAACTCTTTTTTTTTTTTAGTTTTATTGATTTTATTTTTTTTAATACATGACAGCGGAATGCATTACAATTCTTATTACACATATAGAGTACAGTTTTTCATATCTTTGTATATAGAGTATGTTCATGACAATTCATGCCTTTATACATGTACCTTTGGGGTTTTTTTGCATTACAATTCTTATTTCACATATATACCACAATTTGTCATATCTGTTTATATATAATGTTTTACACCCAATTTGAGTCTTCATACATGTACTTTGGATAATGATGTACATCACATTGCACCATCCTTGCTAATCCCCTACCCGCTCCCTTTCCCTCCCATCCCTCTTTTCTATCCAGAATTCATCTAATCCTCCCATGCTCCTCCTCCCTACCCCACTATGAGTCAGCCTCCTTATATCAGAGAAAACATTCGCCATTTGTTTTTTTGGGATTGGCTAACTTCACTTAGCATTATCTTCTTTAATGCCATCCATTTACCTGCAAATGCCATGATTTTATTCTCTTTTAATGCTGAGTAAAATGCCATTGTGTATATATGCCACATTTTTTTTATCCATTCATCCACTGAAGGGCCTCTAGGTTGGTTCCACAGTTTAGCTATTGTGAATTGTGCTGTTATAAACATTGATGTGGCTATGTCCCTGTAGTATGCTGTTTTTAAGTCCTTTGGGTATAGTCCGAGGAGAAGGACAGCTGGGTCAAAATGGTGGTTCCATTCCCAGATTTCCAAAATTGAAACTTTTTTAAACAAGGAGAACTGTCCTCCAGTACCATTATTAAGCATTGAATGGCTTTGAAATGAGTTTTAGCTGAAGAACTGGCAAGGTTACTTGATGAATCCAATCTAAAGTTACAAGGCAAAACAGTGCTTATATGGCAATCTTATCCTGCCATTTTGATGTTGACCAATATTGTTTGAATTTTGATGTTGACCAATATTGTTTGAATCACAAGTAATGGCAAAATGTATTATAAATTCCCTGTACTATAATAAATGAAAACAAAAACTTAGATCTCCATTCCCATATGAATTTGCAGTGGATATATTTACTGAGTACATACTACAGACCTAGCAGTGTTTTCAGACATAAACACTAAGTGAATCCCCATATTTCAAACTCCTTTTCACTGTTCATTGAAGAGCTTTCAGTTTAACCTTTAATTGGAAGTAATTAATCTGCAAAGCATTAATCTGCTAAAAGGCAATTATCAAGAGAAGAATCTATTAGAATCCTACAAATGCCTTCCAGGTGATGAATATGCTCAATTAAAATCATATGCTTAAAAAAGACATTACTTTGGTTAAAATTTAGGACTTACATAAATTATCAAGTTTTATTAGTGTTTGTATTAAATTTGATATTAAAATCATTTTCTCTTGAAGCATCTTTTATGTCCTGATCTTTGGTCATTGTTTTGTTAACCTGTCCAGCTTTTCCATAGCCACACTTCTTAGTGACCTTACCCCCAAAATTCTTTTTCTGGACTTCATTAAATTCAGCACCTTCATAAAATTTGTATTTTTAGTTTATAATTGATGCCCCCTAATTATATCATATTGTTGCTTTAATTCAAGTACGGCATTAATTCAGTCAGGCAGGAATGTAATCTAGTGACAATCAAGGAAGACTGGTTGAGTGGTTACAAGTTAAATTATTTTTGCATTTGTAAATATTTTTATTTTATTTTTTGCTTCTTTCTGCAGCTTGTAGCATTGAAGATTTAAATAATAGACATTTAGTAAAAATGATTCTTTATAGATTGGATTTAAACACTCAATTCTGACCCTGCAGATGCAAAAGAAATCAAGATAATAAACTCGATTTTCTTCCAGAGAACATAGATATTTCTAAGCAGTGTAGAATTTGCCTGTGCTAACACACATTTGGAAGTAAGTCAAAGATATGTCTTGGTTTGAAAGTTCAGAATTTTGAAACGAAAGTGGGGGAAGTAACCTCTAAACTACAGTGTTAGAATAAAATGAGTCCCTCTCATCTCAGAAAGAACTGGAGCCATGGCCTCACACTTTTCTCAATTTTATTTCAGTATGTCAATCCACAAATTGGCATATTAGCAAACTGCACACAATGTTACATCTTCTAATGAAATAATGATTATCAGAAACCTAACATTAGTCATCTGCAGAGCTGAAAGGAAAATTCTTGCAATTTCCTTTCATAAAGATTTATACTAGTACAGGGATTCTTGAAAGTGAAGAATAAAATAAAATTTAAAGTGGGTTCATCCAGAGACCAGAACCCCTTGTATGTCATGATGCTTTTTTTCCCAATCTACTCAGAACTTTTCAAATAACTAGACACTATCAATGATTTGCTTGGACACAGGCTTGGTAATTCTCTCTTAAACTTGTGACATCTCCCCACCTCTGAGCATGTCATGTCGATACCATGATTTAGTGAATAGCAGAACAAATGGAAGCTAACTCCAGCTAGAGAAATCAAAGCTTCAAAAGGCCACTAAATTTCCTTCAGAGGTCAGAGTTCTGGTGTGCTAGGGTTGTCTCTGTCTAATTAAATTCCAAGTGAAGCTATTTCCTTCTCATGGGACATCTGCCTCTTTCAGGGTAGAAGGTAGGAGGAGGTTGATTCTTGACCTGCTTCTATCATGCCTCAAGAAGAACCAGGAGACAATAGGATATCCTTGTTTAAGTAAATTAAAAAAAAAAAAAAACATTATGTGCAAAGTTACACATATTATGAAAAATGTGTTAAAACATTTTCAAATTGTAGATTCATTACAGATTAGGAGCTTGTCTTTTGTTATGTGCCTAGTAATATTTTCTTCAAGGATTTTAAATTTGACACTTACTACAAACTTTGATAATTATAGCAAATGCTTAATGAATTGTAAGAACTATAAAAGTGAACATTCATAGGTATAACCTAGTCTTAATAACCCCCAAATAGTTGAAATATCTTCTCAACACCAATGTCTGAATGAAAGACTGTTAAATAACTCTATTATATTTTTTTTCAGTTAAAATATACGAAATGTTGTCTAAAATCAGAGCTACCAGCTTGGGTTCAATTACATAAGGAAAAAATGTGTTTGTGCAAACATAGGAGCCATATTAACAATGCATAAAGCAGTATTCCAAATGTCTTGTTTCTCTGTAGTATTGTTGACATTCACCATTTACTTCCTGTACCTCAAAAGCAAATCTCAATATAATATGTTCATATTTCTTAATCATTCTGGTGGAAAAGAACATCAGCCTGAAGTGAAGAAATATCCATCTCTCTTTTGCCATTTAAAAATTTATCCAACTCTAAACACATCACCCAAGCCCCTCAGTCTTCAGTTCCCTTCTGTCTGAGTGTGTTACTCAAGTCGTTAGCATCACGGTGTAAGAGTTTTCAGAATTCTAGATTAGTAGAATTTAAGATAGGTAATGAATGCAGCCAATAAAAAAAGTTTATAATTCTCATCATTCTCTGCTAGTAGAGAGAAGCTTTTGCAACATGTGGAAGTTAGACTTAAAATTGAATTTTCCAAAGAGCACATGTTCAATGTGCTTCTCTCTCTGTAACAAGAGGTGATTACCAGAGGCTACACAAGGCACCTAAATCCTCAGCCACTCATATCGTATTATACTGATCTTTAGTCTTTCTGAGAGTAGTTGTATTTGATTAAAGATAGCACTAGTTTCTCATGAAAGGATGCATGAATTAATTTGACAGTAATTTGCTGAGTGTTCACATCGACGGTACTAGAACAAATACGGTTTGTGTCTAATTTTGTGCATATTTTTTCCTAGGACCCACCGATCTCAGCATGAAGAGGCAGCTGGCAACTAGCTCGGGCTCCTCCAGCAGCTCCGGCTCCAGACCTCAGTTGAGTCCAACAGAAATCAATGCCGTGAGACAGCTTGTCGCAGGGTATCGAGAATCAGCTGCATTTTTATTGCGTTCTGCAGATGAACTGGAAAATCTCATTTTACAACAGAACTGAGTCAAATGCTGACCAGATTCACTGAGTTCTAAATTTGCAGTTTCCACTAATGACATTTTGATTTCCCAGCAGAGATACTTCTGGTCTTACTGCACAATCTTTTAAGAGAAATACTTCCATTATGCCACATTGTCCTTGATCCATAAAGTGATGTGTTAAGGTGCTTCAAAGGAACTTTGGCCTCTGAAGCACTTGAGATACTTAAATTTGTTCAGCCTATTGCTTTTTGTTTTAATGTGTCAGCATAAGTATCATGGGCAAAAAAAAAAAAAAAAAAAAAAAAAAAAAAAAAAAAGGCTGCGTATTCTTAATTCAAGGATAACTCAGAAGAAACTTGTGGTATAAAAAAAAAAAATAGTTCAAGATCCAACTGAAATATTAGTGGAATTTGCTACTGACTCATTGGACTGAAAGCAGAAGTATCTGGCAAAAAAAAAAAAAAAAGCCAATTTTCTTGTTGCTACAGGATATAACAACAATGAAAAGGATCTTGTATTTTAAAAGAAAAAAAATATGTAATTTTTATAAAAAGAAAACTTGTTTTTCATTCAAAAATGGTCATTTTTACTTTGGTAACTTTTTCATAGGTCCTAAAAGAAAACTGTTTTGAAAAAATTACTGTAAGTACCTTTTCCATATCCCTTTGCCTTCTCCTCTTTCCAAATTCTTTCTACAGAAATAACACTCGATGCTGGAAAACCCCTTGCCTACGTTCTTTAAATCGTCACATCAGGAACTACTTCTATGAGAAGCCTGCATTTCTGCACTTACGCTGATTTCAAAAAAAAAAAAAAAAAAAAAAAAAGCCGCTCCACATTGCAGCTTTACCATACCAGTTTTCATCACGGGATTTTTTAATATTAAAAAAGACGTGCTGAAAAAAATCACACCTTGGTTTCCTTAGAGCTGCTCACTCCTGATTGCCGCTGCTGTCTTACAAGCACCCCTCTAGCAGCAATTGGATGTAGATGACTGAATGTTGAGGTTGCAAGTGACAATCTGAAAATTTGCACTCGTGTGTAGGTTTTCTTTTCATTTTTCTCTATCAGAAATAGTTTCCCAAAAAGACTGTTATGTCTGCTGATATGATTTGTATACTTTACAGTTTTAGCTAAAATAAAGAACTCTCAGCAGATGCAGCTGCCAATTACAATGAACTGTTCCCTTGGGGCTCCCGTACCTTGCCCTTCTTTCTTCTTTTCTAGCATTGGAGACACATGAGTGGTGTTTTCTTTGTGCACTTGAAGCAAGCCTATTTTAAAACTATTTAGAGAGAAATACTTTAGTTTACGCTTCTTGTATGATTATTTTTTTTCTGTTGTTTCGCTTCGGTTGGATTACAAATTCTTTGTGCATTCCTGAATTTGCCTTATTTCATGTAAATTTTGTGTCATTCGGTTTTTGACAATGAGTTGAAGGCATCAGTGATATTTCTTACCTACTTGTTACATATGGTTTCTCAAGTAATGACTGTGATTGTGACCAAGTAATGTGCACCTTTTCTTGTAACTGTGGACATTGCTATGCTTTTTTTCTTCTAGTGTTTCTAGAATTACTGTTCCTTACAGTTACGTAAACAAACAAACAAACAAAAAAAAAAACTTTTGTGATACTGTTGGTGAATATAATGTGAAAATCTTATTGAAATATGAGTATTTTGGAAATACATAGATGCACAACATCTTTTAAGGTGTGAATTTAGAGTTTGCTTATTTAAATGAAAATTTAAAAATTGAGGGCTGGTATAATTTTCTCTGTTTTGTTTGGTTTAATAAACAGATTTCTGTGTTAAAACGATGATTGTGAAACCTTACAAACTTTCTAAAAGACCACAATGCTTAATTTCTGGCAGTTTGCTTTTAACGTCTGAAATGATATTGACAAAATTAGACACTCCAAATTATTTCCCAAAGATATCCAGCGGTTAATATTCAATCCATAAAGAGTTTATTCTGAGAAAGGGTAAAAGGAATCAGCATCCAGGGGTACTTCATTTGATAATTCAAACCTATTTTTAAAATATATTCATTGTCTTTTATTTCTCATTTCTTCAGGAGTAACCTGGTTCTTCTAATCCTTCCTGATTTAGGGGAAAGCATGTGCTATTCTTAAAAGTGGCTATCTATATTTGGGGTTTCGTTGTAATAATACCTGAAGGCCTTGACATGATTTCCAGTTCACAAATTCACATTCAGGCTTGGGTTTAGTATACACATCAAAAATTCTTAATAACAATAATGAAGTGAATGGAGAAGAGCAGCAAGGTGCTCTTATTTTTGTATCATTTTAAATCTTCTATTATAACTTTCTCATCTACTCACCAGGACTGAATTCCTCAATGTCTTCTGCTATTGGTAATCCAAAAGAATTAAGGGCACTGAAAAAATCCCATCATTTCCTGGGGGAAAGCACAGAGGTCAAAATGAAGTACCATTTTGTTTTATTTTTCTTTATGACTTGTACCTGAGAAAGCAGCCTGATTTCATTGGACACGCTGTAGCGGTGGAATAGAGAGATCACATCTCTTTATAAAGCACATCGGAGATTGCTCTTCTCATTCAAATGAAGTGTTGAGAAATTGTCAGCCATCCAGACATCAAATTGAAGTCTCTGTCCCTTCTGCTAGTTAGTTTTCCATACAACACTGGGTTCTTGTAACTGATGTGTTACTTTATCACATTTAATGAGAAATCATGCCTTAAAATGGCTACAGAAGACACCAAGCATGGGCACAAGACGGGATTAAAAAGCACTCAGGTTTAACGATGGCCACCATTTACAAGGAAATGCATTTTGTTTTCTTTACTTCTCACAATAACTTCAGTAGATTGGTACAGTCGATTCCATTTTTTTACGAAAAGGAGGAGGAGCTTGCCAACAGCACAAAGATGGTGGGAGGTGAAGCCATCATTTGAACCCAGATACACCTGAAGCCTGGTCCCGCCATCTTGGTAGCTATCATTTGCTGTTTCCCAGGTAATAATCACATTCTGCTTGTGTCTTGGAACCAGGCTTTTATACTACATCTTATCAGTTTTACATGTGTACATAAATCATCGTTACTTATTAGAATAAAGCATATGTCTAAACACCAAATTTTACCCGTTAAGGAGGTTTAATTTCCTTTAAGTAATGGACTCTACAGGTATAAAGAACTATGATAAAACTCATCACTAATTGAAAATCATATACATGCAGCATAAAAGAGTGTCATTTTAAGAACAATGGGGACCATTAGTGAGTCTTGTAAGGAGACATTAAATGGGAGTATTCAATTGAACCATAAAGAAAAACTCTTGTTATTAATCCTCAGGCCTTGAATGTAATATCATTCAAAGATTACTTTCCTTTTCAAGTTTTTTATTTGTTCGTTTTAGTTATATGTGACAATAACACAAAAATGGAGTTCCTCTTTTTAATTTTTTTTTTATTTTTTAGTTTGTTATAATTAGTTATACATGACATTAGACTGTATTTGTGTACACACTGTACACAAATGGAGCACAATTTATCATTCCTCTCGCTATACATGGTATATAGTAACACCAGTATTGTAATCATACATGTATATAGAATAATAATCCCCAGAGCCTCACCCCTCCTCTCACTCCCCTCTGCAAAATCCAGAGTTCCTTCATTATTCCCTATCTCCCCCCACACACTATGGATCAGCATCCATTTATGAGAGAAAACATTTGGCCTTTGGTTTTTTGGGTTTGGCTTATTTCACTTAGCATGATATTCTGTAGTTCCATTCATTTACCTGCAAATGCCATAATTTCATTCTTCTTTAAGGCTGGGTAATATTCCATGTGTATATGTACCATATTCTTTATCCATTCATCTGTCGAAGGGCATCTAGGTTGGTTCCATAGTTTAGCTATTATGAATTGAGCTGCTATGAACATTTGTGGCTGCATCACTGTAGTGTGCTGATTTTAAGTCCTTTGGATATTTACTGAGAAGCAGTATAACCAAGTCACGTGGTTGTTCTCTTCCTAGTTTTCTGAAGAATCTCCATACTGCTTTCCAAGCGTTCCATTTGTGTACAGTGTGTAAACAAATGCAAATTCCTTGCACCGATTTGCAATCCCACCAGCAATGTATGAGTGTATCCTTTTCCCTACATGCTTGCCAACATTTATTGTTACTGGGTCTCTTGAGAGTTGACATTCTGACTGGACTAAGATAAAACCTCAGTGTATTTCTAATTCACATTTCTCTAATTGCTAGAGATGTTGAATAGTTTGTCATATATTTGTTGACCATTCATTTTTCTTCTTTGAGAAGTGTTTGTTTAGCTCCTTTGCCCATTTATTAAATGGGTTCTTTTTTATTTTGGTGTTAAGCTTTTTGGGTTCTTTTGTATATCCTGGAGATTAT